ATGAAAATGTTGAATAGAACAATGTGAACTGTATCGTTTTGCATAATTCGAAGCAAAAATCAACATAGTAAAAGAAAAACTCATTTTGAAATAGGGAAAATTAAGCACTTTTTAAAAACACCCAATCAAAAAAGGACCTTTAAAAATGCTATGCTCCCTGTCTAGGAAAAGAATTTTGATCTTACTGAAACTTATTTTGAATATTACACATATTTCTCACCATATTCAAGTATATCTAAAGCAGTTAAAAACCAATGTAAAATTCAAATAACTTTAAATTTTTTAAAGGTCACAATAACCCTATTAAACTTTAAGGACTTTTTCATGGCTCTTAATTTGCGTGATGCAAAATTATGCACTATTGAGCATTTTTAAAGCACATATGAATTATGTTAAAAATTTAAAAAAAAAAAAAAAATTATATATAAACTAAGCAATTACTTCGTGATAGCTGCAGTTCTTTTTCCTCCTAAATGCATATGCACCATCTGGATCATTATCTTCATCTTGATCAGACTGACTCTGTAAAATAATTTTAATTAGACCATCTATCACGTAAGAAAAACATTGTTATTTTATTTATTTTAAGTGTAGGTAACAAAAAAGTTGAAAATTATCTTACCAAAGACAAGCCTTCATCTTCAGAACTTGCAAGTTCTCCTAAGTTTATGTCCAGACCATGACTATTTGCAGAGACAGTGATTTAGATGAGCTGGACTCTGGCCTTTTTCTTTTGTACTGACGTTTCTTCGTAGGTGCACCTTTAACTGGCTGCAACAATTAATCCAACATTGATTCAATAAATAAAAATAATTGAGAATTGCAGCAAAAAAATAATTACATAAATGAATACTGAACATAAATTACAATAGGATGACTGTTAAATGAAAAATATAGCCCGGCAGGACTTCATTCAATACATTACACACAAATAAATTTCGAAAAATTCATATATAGTCAAATTAAGCAAGCAGCTATGCTGCTAATGGAAAAAAAATCTCTTCCAGGACCTGTGACCTTAACTTCAAAAAAATATTTTCCAGGGCTAATCAAGGATTTTTAACTTAACACTCCTTTTTGTGAAATATTTTAGTGACATTTAAATTTAGTGAAAGCTTTTAACGCATCATTATTTTCTGTGAGAAAATATATTAAGTTAAAAAAAATATTAATTTTAAGGAATTATTTTCCTTAATAATAAAAAGCTATTAAGATACTTGTTTACTACAATTTTTAACAAATACTATTTACAATTCAAACACATATACAGAGTTAAAAAAAAAAATTTTAAAGTAAAAAAAAAAAAAACTTTTTTTTTAAATTTTTTTTTTTTAGAAAATTGTAATTACTTGTTACTATTTTACTCGTGTGATTATCCATCTCGTGTTATTATTCATCTATTTTATGATTAACTTTATGTATACAGGAAGCTTGGAGATCATTTAAAACAATTATAACCAGATTAAAAAGTTCTAAAAAAAAGAAACAATGTAAGAGAGAAATTTGACAAGAAATAATTACAGACATTACATTTACTTTCTTTGGAACGTTAAAACTGATATTTCTGACTAGTTGCAAATATTTTAGTTAAAAATTGCAACATTTCCTCAAATTTATGACAAATCTAAATCTCAAGACATTAAAGTGAAATTGCTTGCTTTAATATAGAAGTATAAATAAAACAACACAAACCTTGCTTTTGGTTACCCGTGTTTCTTGTTTAATTACAACTTGACTATTATTTACAGGAATAAAGCTCTGCCGAGGGTGCTTGATAGCAGAAACTTCAGCAAGCAACTGGCCACTAAAGTCTCCTGCTTGGTACCTAAATGGAAGAAAAAAGTATTTAAAAAAAATTGAATATGACCAATACATCAATATTTTTTATTTATACATAACTCAAGGATAGAGAAGTCAGAAATTTATTTTTGGAACACATTGGAGAAGGTTAAACTGCAGCTTTGGCATAACAGTAAAGGATTTTGAAACACAGTTAAAAAGGCAAAAGCAGAGGAGTGGGATTTAAGGGGAAAAGGCAAGGTTGGCAAGTTTCTGCCGAGGTGGTTAAAACCACTGGTAGAAACAGGTTAAAACTGGCAGAAATTCCGAAAATGACAAAAATAAGTACTGAGATTGATATACAAAGGATAATTCATAGAAAAAACAGATAAATGTTACGAAATTATCACCATTCAAAACCAAATATTACATTGTCTGCACTCTGCATTAATCTATAACAAAAGACAAGATTTGACGCAGTTTCTAAACCTAAACAATTTCTCAAATTGCTATACACGAACGAGAAATTTGAGAAGATTCTCTCAAGTTCAGCAGAACTAGCAGGCATTGCCTTTAAGGAACAAGCAAGATTTGTGAAACTTTCATCTATTGCATATTTTTTAAAACTGGACTGCTATGTAGCAGATGGGGTGGTTGTCAAAACTTGACCGGAAAAATAAGTTTCAGGAAATGAGGCAGACTTGTTATAAATATTTGATATGCTGCACTTGTTATATTTAACAGGGATGAGATTAGCCAAAACGCAAA